ACAGAATACTCCCCAGACCCCAGTCATTTCAATTGGTGCAGTTTCTCCCTCAGGCTTGCAGAGGGTGCAAGCTGGGTATCCCCTGATGCAGCCCAGTATGGGGACCAGGTACCTGAGGGTAGAGGTTGAGTCCCACAGGTGAGAGATCTGTCCCCCAAGATTACTCCACTTCAGATGCTATTTCATTTGCAGGCCTCTGGGACTTTTGGCCATAAACTGGTTGTCTCCCATCTCCTCCCTGGGTTCTGTTAGGTTGTAGCAGTGACTCCCAGATATCAGAGAACCACTCTTGCTGGCCCGATAAAAGGATATTACAGAGGATTCAGTAAAAAGATAGATATACAGGGCCACCGAGCCTCTACACCCTCCGTGTACCACTCTCTCCAGGGTGTCAACATCCTGGAAGTAGCAGGTCCCTGCTTCTCTAAATTCTTACAAATACTTATTTCCAGGATTGGAGAGACGGTCCAGAGGACCCAGGTTTGGTTCCTGCACCTACACGATACCTCACAAACATCTATAACTCCCAATTCTACTTACAGATATTTGGGCAAAAAACATACACTTGAAATAAAAATAAACCTTTAAATAAATGTATTTAAGGGCCTCTGAATGGCTCGGTGTACAAAGGAGCTTGCTGAAAACTGGATCACCTTAATCTGTCTCTGTTGTGCACTTCAGTATATGTTCTTAACACACAAAATAAATGAACAAAGTGTAGTCTAAACTTAAAAGACATATTCATTCCTAAATAAGACACATTTATAGGAAAACAAAGCCATACTAAACAAACAAACAAACAAACAGAAACAAAAAAAAATAAAGGCAAAGATGGACAGTAGCTGCACACACTTTTAATCCACTATTCCCAAGGTAGAGGTAGGCAGTTCTCTGAGTTCAAGACCAGCCTGGTTTAGAGTTCCAGGACAACAAGGGCCACACACAGAAACACTTGTTTCCAAAAACCAAGCCAACCAACGAACCAAACAAACCAGAACACAAAGTCAAAACCAACAACAGAAAAATAACAAAGGCAAGAGTCTCAGTGTTGAATGCTGTGAAGAGACACCATGACCAAGACAACTCTTACAGAAGAAAGCTATTAACTGGAGTTTGCTCAGTCTTCATAAATTGACTCCACTATCATGGCAGGGCATGCAGACCTAGTCCATGACAGAGAGCTAGACACGCCTACTCATTGATTTTATTTATCATTATTTTTCACTCTTTATTGTTTTGGGGAACAGGGTCTGTTTATGTAGTCCTGACTGTCCTGCTATCTGCTCTGTAGACCAGGATGCCTTGAGACTCACAGACATCTGCCAATGTCTGTCTCCTGAGTGATGGGATTAAAGAGTGCCCTACCAAGGCCTAGCTATTACCTTTTAAAAATATTTTTATTAATTTTTTAACAAATTTCATACATGTTGATATCACAGTTTCTTCATATCCTCCCCTGTTCCTCACCCTAACTTGTCCCAGTGATTGAACTCTGTAAGGCTTCACATATTATTGGCAAAGGCTTTATCGCTGAAACATACCCTCAGTGTCCCAAGGCCTCATTTATTCATTTAGAAAGGGTGTGATGTAGCCCAGGCTTGC